ATCATGAGGGTGACAGTCTGGGGCCAGTCTCCACTGTGGGGACAGGCTCACCCGTGAGGACAGGCTCACCTGAGGGGGACAGACTCATCTGAGGGGGACAGTCTCACCTGAGGGGACAGGCTCCCCTGAGGGGACAGGACAGGCTCACCTGTGGGGACAGGCTCACGTATGGGACAGTCTCACCTGAGGGGACAGTTTCACCTGAGGGGACAGGCTCACCTGCGGGGACTGGCTCACCTGTGGCAGAGCTCCCCGTAGCCATCCAGGGGCTGCAGCACGCCGCTGGAGGACTCCCCGTGGGTCAGGAACAGCAGCACCGGCTTGTGCTGGGACAGGCCCTGAGGGGACAGAGGTGACAGCTTTGGCAGAGCCAGTGCCAGCTAGTGCCCCCGGCAGGACTTCTCCTGGAGAAGGTGGGGCAGGATGCGTCCCAAGCACTCCCGTCCTCCCCTGGTTGGCGCACCCTCCTCATCTGCACGTGTGCTGACGTGGGGGCCGGCATCTCGACTCTGGGAGGAGGTTTGTTCCAGGAAGAGAGGGACTTCCCTCCCAGAGACCCAGGGAGAGTGGCCTCAGCCTCTGACCCGTCTGTTGGGACTTTCGTGAGGTCAGCTGAGTCCCCAGCTCAGGGCCTGGGGTGTCAGGGCCTGTTCTGCTCCCCAGCTCTTGCCTCCATCCCCTCTGGCCCTGCCCACAGGGCTGGGCTCCTGACTCAGTTTCCCTGCCAGGCGGAACCCTACCTACCAGGCTTCCCACCTGCTCCCAGGTATCACCTGTGGGTCACCTGGTGCTGGGCAGCCATCTGCCCCAGCCTCCCAGCCCCAAGCCCCCCCAGCTGACCAGCCCCCTCCCCTCCCCAGGGTCGTACCTCCTCCACCTCCTGCTTTGTGTAGTGGCCTCCAGGGTCCTTGATCATTGCGTGCGTGCGGGCTCCTGGGGGCAGGAGCACAGTGAGCAGAGAGCCACCCCTGCCCCAGCCCACAGAGCAGGAGCCACTGTTGGGGACAGCATTGTGCTGAGCAGGCCACATGAGGACAGGGACCTGCCACCCCAGCCCCAGCTGCTGCATGGGAGAGGAAAGCGGGGCGTGCTCAGTGAGGCTGCTCTTCGTCAGCTGAGGTTTTGGGGTGCGCAGGGTAATAATGTGCCTGGCTCAGCTGTGCTGTCCCTTCCTCAGGCGGCCTTCCCCCAGTCCAGCCAGGCCGGGCATCCCCAGCACTCCTCACTCGGGAAATAAACAAGCATTTGTGCAAGGCCAGTGGACGGTGCCTTCCCAGCAGAGGAAGGCATGAAGGAAGGAAGGAAAGGATGAGGGAGGGGGGCTCCCGGAACACAGGCCCTAGTCCTGCTCCCTCTCTCCCAGCCTTGCATCCCCGTGCACAGCGAGCCCCAGAGCCATACATAGGAGATGAGGAGGCCCCAGGACCATGCAAGGCTCAGGGGAGAGCCCAAGCCTGGGGGTGGGCAGCCAGAGCCACTGGATTGTGGGTGCTGAGGTCCTGGCCTCTGCCCAACCAGTGTGTGCTCTAAAGGGGACCAGGTGGGGGGTTGGGAACCCGTGAGCTTTCAGAGTTGTCTATTAACCGACGGAGTGCGGCCATGTGTGGAGCTGACGGTGCAGGAGGATTTCCAAATGCGCCATCAATCATTAAACCCAGGGCTCACTCCTGCTCCCGAGCTTTGTCTCTCAAGATATTTTTCTCTGGGAGTGAAACGCTGTCCATTCCTCCACATTTTGTGGCTTCACAGAAAGAGTTTGTTTCTGAGACTTTTGAGGGGGGGACTTCAGCCTCTGAAACCCTGTCCTAAGGCCGAGCAGAGGTGACCCTGGGGACCCCGGCCAGCTGTGGGCGCTGAGACCAGAGGATTCCCTGCAGTGCCACCCAGGTGCTCCACAAACAGCTGTCCCCAACTCTGGGAGACCAGGGAGATGGGACCCTCAAGCATCCTGACACCTGGACTGGCCAGAAAGTGACCACAGAGGGGGTGGGCAGGGGCCAAGGTTGGTACCTGGGGTGAGGGGGCTGCCAGGCATCCTGCCAGAGGCAGGAGGATGGGGAAGGGTGGAGTGGGGGCCACAACCCCACCCTCTGCCCCATCCCTTACCTATGCGCTCCCCGATCTCGACTGCCCGCTGTCCCCAAATGCCGTTGGCCCCAACCAGGAAGGAGTCCCCAGGCTCCAGGAGGTTGAGCAGGGCAGCCTCCAGGGCAGAGTGCCCCGAGCCGCTGATGGCCAGCGTGAGGCGGTTCCTGGTCTGGAACACGTACTGGATGCCTTGCTTGATCTCATCCATTATCTGAGGGTGGTAGGGGTGCAGGTCAGACGCAGCTCCCGGCCCTCCCGCAGTGAGGAGGCAGCTCAGGGACTGACCCGCCCCCACAGCCCACCTGGTACATCTCCTTGTGCATGTGGCCGATCATCTGCAGTCCCCCGGCCGCCAGGACGCGTGGAGCCAGGTTGGAGGGGCCGGGCCCCAGCAGGAGCCGGCTGGGCACCGACAGGGGCTTAAGCAGAGCCTCTGGGGGGGTCACCAGCAGCTGGTGCGAGGCCATGGTGCGCACCCAGCCTGCCACCCGGGGCCCCAGGGCCACACTGGCGGAGGTCAGAGTGCGGAGCATTTCCCGGCTGGCCCAGGCGGTGTCAGAGGTGAGGTCTGTGGATGGGCTCCCCCTCCAGCTCCGCCCGCTGCCCGCTGCCCGCTGCCTGCTTGTGGTGGTTACCTGACCCTTTGTCAATGCTTAGCCTTCTGTCAGGGCCTGACAGCTGGGGTGTTGAACCCCTGGCAGGGAGGAGGCGCCTTCAGAGACCAGTCAATGGAAAACAGAACCTGGCGTCCTCCGCCCCCAGCACCCTCTCTCAGGCTCCTCCCAGCCATGGGGTGGTCTCCAGTCCAGTGCTCATGTGGGGCTCAGGGGATCCCAAAGTTTTTATTAAAGGACCGGAGAGAAAATATTTCAGGTTTGGCAGGCCTTACAGTCTGTGCTGCAAATACTCGACTAGGCTGTTGGAGTGCAGAGCAGCCACCGAGCTGCGGCCGTGTGCAATAAACTTTTATTTACAAACAAGCCATGGGCCAGATTTGGCTCAGACACATGTGTATGCACACATGTACACACACACGCACATACACGCGTACACTGAGGACATGGTCATTCCTGAGCCTTTTGGAAATAAGTATTTCTTCTGCTTCTCCATGCCCACAGCTCTGAGGGTTGGCATTTACACATGTAACCAAGGGCACACGCAGGGGGTGGGGTGAGCCTCCTCTCCTTGCTGAGTCAACAGGCAGGTAGAATAAATGTAAGTCCAGGTTCCCTGCAGAAGGAGCCAGACCCACCAAGGGGGCTCCCAGCAGAGCCGCTGGTGTCCCCAGAAGCCAGAGGGGGCCCGGTGTTGCCTGTGACCTGGTGAAGGAGGCGCTGGGCCTGTGATCTCTGAGCAACTGGCAGGCTTCCTGCAGTTCTGTGCTCAGGGCTCTGCCCCCCTGGGCCATAGTAACCAGGAGACCTCAGGGCTTCTGCAGGTGACTGAGGAGGCTGCACACCCCCTGGGACCCAGCGGGAGACTTACTCCCAAGCTCAGCAGAGCCTCTCCATTCAGCACTCATTGCTGGGACTGGGTTTGTGTGACATCCTGGGGGCATGGGGACCCCACCAGTTTTAGCCTGGCTGGTCAGTCACAGCCTGAGAACCTTACAGCCCTGCGGGTGGGCAGGAGGTTATCTGTCAATAAAAACATAGAGGAAATAGGAAGAGGGCCTCCAAGGTGTGGTCTGTGCTGGCCCAGGGCAGGTGTGTGTGATGCTGGCCTTCACTTCCACAGGGTGGCCTGGTGTGAGCTCCCCCGCCCTCTCTACTCCTCCATCCCCCTCCCCCCTCCCTTACAGAGTTCCCTCTGGGCCAGGACCCAGTCAGGCTGCTCCAGCTGATGCACTTCCAGCCAGAAGAGAAGCATACACTGGGAGCAAGGCGCCACCCTCCCCAAGGGCCACCCTCCCTCAGCTCAGCTCTGGCCTCCTTGTCTGCAGCCCACAGGACTATGCCCCTTCCCCCTGGTCCCAGGCTCCCTCCCACCTGGGTTGCTGTATCACCTCCCCCTGGACCAGTCTAGTCATGACACCTCTGTCTCCTGCCCTCCCCCAGGCATTGCCTCTTCGCTCCAGTCTAGGTCTAGCAGAAGCATCTGTGCCTTTGCATGTGCTGTTCCCTCAGCCTGGAATGCTTGTCCCTGTCTTTGCTCAACCCCTCTTCTGCTTTGGCCAAGCTCCCCGTCTGCCCAGAGCTCCTCAGCTGCCCCTGAGTAAGAACTAAAAGGGAGTCACCGTGGTCAAGCTGCTAAGTTATTGAAATCAAGTGGGCTGGGCCTGAGGAGTCTTATTCCTGTTCTGACTCTGGGAACTCCCACTTTTGCACTTTCCCGTCCTGCACCTGTACCTGGGTGGACATCCACTTGTCCTGTGTCAAGGCCTGGACATACATCACGCCTTCGGTTAACCACCTGAATGACTTTTGAATGATGATGTTCCAGTGCCCAGCCCCCCAGACATGTGACAATTACCATCTTGGACCAATCGGGGCTAAGAATGCAGGACCGATTCTTCTGAAGTATGTGCTTTTTCGTGTCAAACTCTCAGACTTCGCTTTCTCCTCAAAACTCTCTGGGTGTTGCCTCCTAGTGCTTCCAGTTTGCAAACCTTAAGACCCTTGACTAAATCTTTGTCACTTACTTCTAGCCAAAGCCTCCTGACCTCCTGGAGTAAGTTCACCGTCCTTCTGCCACATGCCACACTAGTCACACTGCCTGTTCCCTTGGGCAGGACTCCACGTGAGAGGCCAGGGAGCCTGGGCCCTGGGGAAGCCGGGGAGGTGTGTATGTTTTGTGCGAAAACAGGCGGTCCTTTGCTAATGTAACCTGGAGGGGAGCTGTTGCAATCAAAAGAGGTGTTTCCTCAGGCCAAGAGCGGATTGGAAGCTGTGGAGCCACTGAGGACAGTGAACAGCAGGGCAGGTACCAGACCTCCGCCTCCTGAGTCCTGGAGATAAGGGCCAGGTGAACTGGGTAGTTCCAGCCTCAATACCAAGGCCAGAGGCAGCACCTACCCTGGGAGCAGCGACTCTACTCAGCTCTGTGAGGATCAGCCAGCCCACCCACCCTGCCTTGCCAGGGCCCTGGGCCAGCAGCCCCGGGAGGGAGGTCTGGGAGTAGCGTGAAGTCTAGACCAGAACCTGGTGCCCACTCTGCCTCGCCTTCCCCACGGCAGGCCTCCCAGGCCCTGCTCCCCGGGGACCCAGAGGTGTCTTAGCTCTCCAGACAGTGGCGGAACCCACAGGCTGCTGCCTGCCACACTGTGCTATGAAGGAGTTTGTTTCTTGTCTTTTTCTTTTTTTTAAATTTAACTTCTGGTTTTCCCTAACTGATGTGAAAAGTGCAAGAAGTTGCTTTAGTCTATGGGTCTGCAACCTGCCGCACCCGAGTGGTGTTAGGACGGCAGATGTGTGCCACCTGCCCCTGGGCGCTCTAGGCGGACTGTGACCTCCTCTGCTGGTAACACTGCTTTCTGGCCCCTCCGCCAGCTGCCTGATGCTGCTGGGTGTCTCCAAGGAGGTTGTATTTCATCTACAGCGAAAGCCAGCCTGTTGTGACATCTAGGCCGGAGGAGGCGCTTAGAGGCCCTCACAGAGAGACAGCCCCTGTGTCCCAGATGGGGAGGGGTTGGCCTGGAGCCTGCAGCCTCAGCCTGAGTCCTACAGTCTTCCCAGAAGCCTGGGGGTAGTCTTGGGGACCCTGAACATTATGCACGAATGACTTGTTAAAACTCGGGAAGCCGAGTGTCTCCCGTTAGCACTCCCCCTCCATGATGAGGCCACGTTTCTGGCCCTGTGCGACCAGCTGCAGCCTCGTTGCTCCCCCATCCCAGCAGAGGCTTTCTTCTGGCTTCATTGATTCATGCTTTTCTTTGCTCACCATCATTTGTGAGAAGAGATGATTTTGAGTAAGGTGGTGAGAAGACTCACAGCTCACGGCTCCGCATGCGGCCCAGGAGAGGCAGCTGCCCAAGGTGGACAGGCAGTGCCAGAGCACCCGGGGTGGGAGCAGGCAGGCGGGAAGGCTTTCTGAGCCAAGACCTGACATGGAGGAAGGGTAACTGGGTGCGGCTGGGGGTGCAGAGTGGGCCAGGCCCAGGAGCCGGGCACAGTTGGGAGCGTGGAAAGTCTGTTGGAGGCCCTCGGAACCACAGACTGCACCACCGACAGCAGGAGCGATCACGGCCAGGAAAGCCGAGTTGGCAAGGAAAGGGAGGTGCCTCCTCCTGGGTGACCCCCAGTGCCTAGATGCATCAGAATCCCCAGATTCCGACTCACAGGATGAAGCCGGGTCCGAGAAGTTGCATTTCTTGCAGGCAGGGAGCCCCAGGAGGCCAAGTTCCAAGCACAGGGAGGCTCTAAGGGGGGTGGGCCTCGGGTCCCAGGTCACCGGACTTCAATAGCCTGTGCTTGGGCCCCACTCTTGACAGAGAAGGTGAGGGGACTACGTGCTGGCGCCATGGGGCATAGCAACACTGAGCTTCCCGTCTTCCCGTAAATGCAGCTTTCTGCTGCTTCTGGAAGGCAAAGGGGGCAGGCTGGTTGTCCCCATGGGGCGGGGGTGGCAGGCTACCTGATCCCAGCCAGAATCAGGGTTGGAGTGCAAACTCTGCAGATGGTCCAGGGGGGTGCAGGACGCCCAGAACGTGGCTGGGTACCCACCGACCAGCACCATAGACTTGGAGCTGGCTGTGCTCTGGTGTGAGCAACACGACAGTGACCTCTTGTGGCCGAGTCTGTGAGACATGCAGAGGCAGTGACAGATGATAATCACAGTTTTAAAATGTCTGCAATGTGAGTAACGCACGTTCTCCAGACACACTGTGGAGCACGAGGAGCCTTCAGCTCCGTCTCTGCCAGCCTTACTGCACCGACATCTGTCAGCAGCTGCCTGGCCCTCACTTTCACTTGTCTAATTTGCCAGAGTTTTTATTTTTTCCATTGATTTCTAGAGAGAGAGTGGAAGGGAGGGAGGAGGGGAGAGGGATGGGGAGAGAGAGGAACTTAGGTTTGTGCCTTGACCAAGAATCAATGATGCTCCAACCAACAAAGCCACCCAGCCAGGGCGAGGTCTCTTTTCATGGGTGATAGTACTTTAGTGGACACACACCCCAGGAAGCTTTTTGAAAACACATTCTGGCTCAGGCAGCTGGGTTGGGCCCAAGACACTGCATTTATACAAACCCCCACGGCACGGACAGCCCTGGGTCTGCAGGCCTTTTCGCTGCCCAAGGCCCCTGCCACCTGGCCAGCCTCCTCTCCTCGAATCTCTCCCACTCTCCCCCACCCTAGGAGCCTCTGGGCAGAGGGGACAGGACGAAGGGAGCAGGGCAGGAGGGTCCCTTCCCCGGGTGGGAAAGGTGAAGGTGCTCCGAGAAGGGTCATCCTAGGTCAGGAGACTCCCCTCCCAGGACAGACCTCCCCTGGGTTTCTCTGCCAAGTCCCAAGCTCAGACCTTCAGCCAGCTGTGCTGGAAGCCGGGGCGGCCCTCCCAGCCCTCCTTGTTCCCTTGCCTCTGCCCTGCTCTGCCCTGGCGGGGGGCCCGGGAGTGTCTGCACATCCCTCTGTGCTGCCCCTGCCCCCTCCCCCCCAGACCTGGTGTGGCTGGAGGGGTGTCTGAGGTCGAGGGTCTCCTGCTGACCTGTCCCCTCCACCTGCCCTCTGGGAGGCCATCACTGTCGGGCTGCTGAACTCCCCAGACTCCAGATATGGCCCAGGAGGCTGCAGGGGAGGCTGGGGAGACGTGGGGACCCAGGGGGCAGCTCCTCAATGCCCAGCCAGGATCACAGGTCCCAGGGGGCCCCCGCCTCTGCCAGATCCACCTGGGAAGGGCTGAAACCAAAAGCGCAGGGGAGGGTGGGAGGGGTCTTCTGCGTGCCCCTCCCCGGTCCTGTCTTTGACACTTCACAGAACTGAACTCAGCCAGTCCTCGCACCCTCTCAGGAAGGCAATCCTTTTAGTCCCCTTTTTACAGACAAGGAAACTGAGGCACAGAGCAGGGCGTGACCTGCCCAAGGCACCCCATTTACCATGGGGAAGAACACGGGGAGGAGAGGCTGGCCAAGCTGGCCTGGAGTGGAAGGGGGCCTGGAGTGACCCCCTGGGCCCATCTTCACCCAGACACTGGCTGCTGTGTCACATGCTGATGGGTGTCAGTGGTGTGTTGGGGTCCCCTGGCCTCAGCCCCAGGTGCGATGTTCCTGGGAGGTGGGCAGGCCTGTAGCTCCACTCCTGCTGGCCAGGGCCCTGATCCTCCAGAGGAGGGAGCCTGGGCCAGGCAGGGGCCTGGTGTTTGGGCTTTCTCAGAAAACTTACCTCTCCAGGGGCACCCCCCTAACCTTTCCTATCATTTCTTCACTAGTTCTGGAGTATGGCTGAGACCAAGCGATCCCTGGGGTCTCATCCATACTGACAAGGCTGGGGGAGCTCACTCTTCCCCACCAGGGCCGCTCAGACCGAGCCTTGGTCTCCAGATTCCAGGGTGAACCCCTGCCTCTGCTCAGCCTTTCCCTGGGAGCCCCTCCACATGCCCCCCATTATTTCACCCATCTTCATGGCCAGATCATGAGGGGCCTGAATTCACCCCAGGAAGCGATGCTCGTGGTGGTCAGCCTGCAGGACCCCGAGCCCCACACTCATTCCTGGTGAAACCTCAGCAAACAGCAGCATCATCCGGGCTTGGACTAGCCTCCTGGCTCCTCACACGCCCTCTGGGAAAACAAACGAGGAAGACATTGATCCCCAAACTCCTTCCTCCAAGGTCAGCCTCTTTCTGCCAAGATCTAAGAAAAGATTTAATTTCAGCCACCTTCGCTGCCAATTTTGTTTTGCACTGTCATCTTCTGACCTCCGTGTCGGAATGAATCCCCTGAGCTGCGTTTTCTGGGAGCAAAGCAGAACCGAAGACCCTCGAGGGCGCTCCTGCCCACAGAGATCAGCCTGGCCAGAGCCAGGGATTCACTCTCAGTTCTGTCTGTACAAAGAGGCCCAAGCAATTGATTCCTTAGGAA